TCATCTTGAATGATCCAGGATGGCTATTGAACTCATTTCATGTCTACCTCATTGATTTTATCATCTTGAATGATCCAGGATAGCTATTGGACTCATTTCATGTCTACCTCATTGATTGTGTCATCTTGTCGATTTTGATTTATGGATTGCAAGTTGGTTAAGTATATCTGTCAGCTATTTGTTTTTTTTTTTAAATTTGATCTTTAAATTTTAGAATCTATTTTTGTAAAATCCGATCAGTCACACTGTGAACAGGGCTTTAATGTGTATAGAGAATAATATATTATAAGAGAAATGTATTGCTATACGTTGTATTGGAAACATACAGAGCTATAAACTCGGAAGTCATACAGTTTCTTTTATTCTTTTTTTTTTAACTTACTTACAAAATGTACCTTGACCAATCAACCGATTCCAGTTTGTGCGGTATCAGGTGAGTGAAGACTATTCCAGTTTTTGGTTGTATGAATTTGGTTTGTTCAGGGTTCAAGTTGTTCATTGTAAACCAATCAGAGCTCATCTTAATCTGAAACTTGCAGTAAAGTTTTATAGTGTTCAGATTGAGTTTGTTTGAAGAAAAGGTACATAACTCGTCTAAGACTGTCGATATTCAAAATTTAGAATTACTGAATATTCCATAGGGTTGTTCACTGCTGTATACTTGTCTGTTTATAAAAACTTTTTAGACCGCGCTTTTCTTGATTGAAATATCGTTACTATCTAGTACAGAATCTGTTCACGAGGCTGTGCTGTAATGGCGGCAAATGCCTTTAACTTTGAAACGAAAACCAACTTTTAGAAATTTTAGATTTTTTCAATTATGTGTGTAATTCGCACAGAGCTGTTGTACTATTGTTTGTTATAGAAACACCAAAAAAACCCTGTTTTGTATTCTAGAGAATGGTTTTCTGTTTTACTTGCAGAATTACATAGAATCAATAGACTAACACTAACAAGAAACTATGAATTCTTGATATTGGAACAGTTCTTGTAATTAATCTTTAATGGCTTTGAAGACTCTCTGAAAAGTTTTACAGGTCCCCGAACGGAAGAAAATGTCATTTGAGTCAATATTCTGATGTTTGATGTTAGTAAATAATTTAACAGTATTGAATCAGAAGCATCATGTATTGTTTGTAAACATCTTCATTACTGGATTGATTACTGGACTAAATCTCAACCAATACTAAATACGAGGCGATATGTACTGTATATAAGATCTATATACATATTAGCACTGGGAGAGAGGGCTAATTTAGGCGACAACCTGATATTTTTCTTTTCATGTGAAAATATCATATTGTTTTATATAAAAGAAAGATATATCAATATGTATATAGTATTGGAATATCGTTTACTTTATCTAATAAACATTGTTACTGTAATATGAATATGAACGACATATTGTGTTATCTGTAAGAGGTATATTAATGACATATTGTGTTATCTGTAAGAGGTATATTAATGACATATTGTGTTATCTGTAAGAGGTCTATTAATGACATATTGTGTTATCTGTAAGAGGTCTATTAATGACATATTATGTTATCTGTAAGAGGTCTATTAATGACATATTGTGTTATCTGTAAGAGATATATTAATGACATATTGTGTTATCTGTAAGAGGTATATTAATGGCATATTGTGTTATCTGTAAGAGGGATATTAATGACATATTGTGTTATCTGTAAGAGGTATATTAACGACATATTGTGTTATCTGTAAGAGGTCTATTAACGACATATTGTGTTATCTGTAAGAGGTCTATTAACGACACATTTTATTATCTGTAAGAGGTATATTAACGACACATTGTATTATCTGTAAGAGATATATTAGCGGCACATTGTATTATCTGTAAGAGATATATTAGCGACATATTGTGTTATCTGTAAGAGATATATTAATGACATATTGTGTTATCTGTAAGAGGTATATTAATGACATATTGTATTATCTGTAAGAGATATATTAACGACACATTGTATTATCTGTAAGAGATATATTAACGACATATTGTGTTATCTGTAAGAGGTATATTAATGACATATTGTATTATCTGTAAGAGGTATATTAACGACATATTGTGTTATCTGTAAGAGGTCTATTAATGACATATTGTGTTATCTGTAAGAGGTCTATAAATGACATATTGTGTTATCTGTAAGAGGTATATTAACGACATATTGTGTTATCTGTAAGAGGTATATTAACGACACATTGTATTATCTGTAAGAGGTCTATTAATGACATATTGTGTTATCTGTAAGAGGTATATTAATGACATATTGTGTTATCTGTAAGAGGTCTATTAATGACATATTGTGTTATCTGTAAGAGGTCTATAAATGACATATTGTGTTATCTGTAAGAGGTCTATAAATGACATATTGTATTATCTGTAAGAGGTATATTAACGACATGTTGTGTTATCTGTAAGAGGTCTATTAACGACATATTGTGTTATCTGTAAGAGGTCTATTAACGACACATTTTATTATCTGTAAGAGATATATTAACGACATATTGTGTTATCTGTAAGAGGTCTATTAACGACATATTGTGTTATCTGTAAGAGGTCTATTAACGACATATTGTGTTATCTGTAAGAGGTCTATTAACGACATATTGTGTTATCTGTAAGAGGTCTATTAACGACATATTGTGTTATCTGTAAGAGGTCTATTAACGACATATTGTGTTATCTGTAAGAGGTATATTAACGACACATTGTGTTATCTGTAAGTGATATATCAAGTTCGTGTATATATGGTGGTATAGCCAGGGATAAAAGATGCACTGAACCATAAATAATTCATTATGAGTAATGGGGATTGTGAGTAATGGTAACACACCATTAAATGTATGAAATGAAATCAAAAAGCAATTTTGAAGTTTAATTAAGTTCATCTAGATATTAATAATTATACATTAACTCACCGTTCACCGTTTGGGTTATTATTTAGGTTACAAGGTACAATACATGCCGAGCAGGTGTCAGTTGTTCATGTGAAATTGAAGTGTAGATTGGAATCACGAGTTGTTCATTCCTTTACTTTTAGCAGCTGATCAATTCGACTAAACTATATTTTTGAGAATCGTGACGATGTCGGTTTTGTTCAACTCTAAATTTAGGTGAAAATTGAATTTAAGGAATATAAGTGAGGTCTTTTTATTCAGTTAATTTTAACAGATCATTGGCTTGGATTATAAGTTACAGTACAATGCTAGAGTTATACGAAATGTAATTGTGCTTACTGGACTGGAATTCTTATAATACGGAATAGAGCCAGAGGTTGTTTATTATTTAACAAAAACAGAAAAGTTTTGAAAAGTTTGGAACATAAACCATCCACTATTAGATCATTTGTTACAGTACCTATTTATTGTTTAAAGACTCGAGAAGGTGTCAGTTTTATTAAAATGTAAAATGAAGTGTAAATGAAATGAATTGAGTTTTACGTAAAATAAAGTGTAATTAGGAATGATGACGTATAAGTGAGGTCTATTTATTCAGTTAATTTTAACAGTTGATTGGTTTGGAATATTTAGTGTAAGGTTATAGTTGAAAGGTATCAGTTTTATTAGTTTAAATTAAAGTAAAAATGGAATAAGCAGGTATTAGGGAGGTATACGTTTTCATTTAGAAGTAACCTAGAACAGATGATAATAACCATCCACCATTAAGTTACACTGTAATCGTATTACCTACTGTATAATTTTATACTCGAAAGAATTGTGAAGGTGTTAATTATACTAATTGACTGATTGTGTCAATTGGAATAACGAAACATATTAAAAATATAGAAAGAACACAAGATATACAGATAGATAAGAGATTGTAAAGAGGTTTTCCAAACTTTTTATGTGTATCAGGACACTGATAGTATCAATTTGCACCATTCTAATTTTCAATCAGACGTCTGTGGTTCCTGCAATTCCTGCAATTCCACTAAATCTGAGTGTTTGATGCCGTCACTAAAATATGCTTTAACATAAGGCTCTTCGTGAATAGTGACGTCATAAAACGCTTAGTTTTAGTGGAATTGCAGGAACCACAAATGTCTGATTGAAAATTGGAATGGTGCAAATTGATGCTATCAATGACCTCGATATTCTTTAAAAAATTTAGAAAAACCTCTTTACAATCCCGTTAAGGTTAACCTTCTTACTTCTATATGTCTTACAAAGATAATAAAACTGTATATTAATTAATTGGCATTATCAGTTACAGTACGAGAGTATAGTTGAAAGAATAGAAGAATTCGATAAAAATGTCATATTAATGTGCATGTAGAAATATTTATCAATTATGGAATAAAACTGTAACTAGCTAAAAAATATTTTTTCGTTTAGAAGTAACCGTCCACCATTAGGTTATCAAGACGGTATAGTACTATAGTTTATATGAATGGAGAAGCTATCATTAAAATGATTCATTATAGACTGGAATAACTATACATAACGGAATGTTATTTATATTTTAAACAGTTATAGTTTAAACTTTTGAAGAAATTTGAACATTAGCCATCCACCAATAGATTATTTGTTTCAGTACAAAACTTAACTTGAGAAAGACGAGGTGATATTAATGAAACTTTTATATCATGGACTGGAATTATTATAAATTATAACCAGGGCTTGTATATAATTTAACAGTTTAAAGTTTTGAACATATTTTACATAGTAGTTTATGTGTTACAGTGTTGGGTTAATAAGTTTCAGTAAAGGTAAAGTGTTAGTGTTGATATGAAAGTAAAGTGACAATTGGATGAAAGAAAGGAGTAGTATATCTATAATAGTGTTTTAATTCATTTAATATTCTTTCTACTTCTAAATATCATTTAAAGATTTTATATAGATCTAGGTCTATTTATTCGTTTACTATTAACAGATTGGTTATTTGTTATAATACAAAACTAGAAGAAGAACTTACTTTCTTGTCTACACTCCGAGACGAGTTCAAACCTACACCCCGAGACAAGTTCAAACCTACATTCCTAGACGAGTTCGAACCTACACTCCGAGACGAGTTCGAACCCACACTCCGAGACGAGTTCGAACCCACACTCCGAGACGAGTTCAAACCTACACTCCGAGACGAGTTCAAACCTACACTCCGAGACGAGTTCGAACCTACACCCCGAGACGAGTTCAAACCTACACTTCGAGACGAGTTCGAACCTACACTCCGAGATAAGTTCAAACCTACACTCCGAGACGAGTTCAAACCTACACTCCGAGACGAGTTCAAACCTACACTCCGAGACGAGTTCGAACCTACACTCCGAGACGAGTTCGAACCTACACTCCGAGACGAGTTCGAACCTACACTCCGAGACGAGTTCAAACCTACACTCCGAGACGAGTTCAAACCTACACTCCGAGACGAGTTCAAACCTACACTCCGAGACGAGTTCAAACCTACACTCCGAGACGAGTTCGAACCTACACTCCGAGACGAGTTCGAACCTACACCCCGAGACGAGTTCGAACCTACACCCCGAGACGAGTTCGAACCTACATTCCGAGACGAGTTCGAACCTACACTCCGAGACGAGTTCGAACCTACACCCCGAGACGAGTTCAAACCTACACTCCGAGACGAGTTCGAACCGTATATTTTTTAAAAACGTGTGTTTAGGGGCTTTAACGATGGAAAACTTCTAAAACTATAGTTATACGAATGGAGAAGATATCGCTGAAATACAAAATTATAAACCGGAATACCTATACATATAATAGAAGAATTTACAATTTTAAGGGACTATTTCTCGTGTTTTCTTCACGTTTGCCGGCAACGTAGTACATTTTTATTGGCCGTAAGATCTCAAATGGTCGCAGTTCGGTGTGAAGGGGCTTCAAATTACTTAATGTAACCGGAGATATCATTAATTCAATTCATTTACCAGTAACTTTGTACGATATTGTACATTAACCACCCAATAGTAGGTTATCCCTTGTCAAGATATAAGGTTACACTATAGTTATAAGAATCTCTAAGGTTTTAGTTGTTTGAAGGTTAGATTGAACTGTCGATTAGATTAGAATAACTGAATACAAGTGAGGTCCATTTATTCAATTACGAGTAATTATTGACAATTCTACATTCAGTGAGATTCTATAGCACAGTCGGTTAGAGTGTTGGTTCTTAACGTTCGTTACATCGGGTCAATTGTGGCTGTGGGTTCAATTCTAGATCAGCATGTGATAGTCCGATGACCTTGAATAAGGCCTCTTCACTCGTAATTCCAGTTGACCCAGTTGTAAATGGGTATGGATAATCCAGGAAAGATCAATGCCAAGAGGTTTGGTCAAAGACCAGCTTGTAGAAAGGATCCTTAACTGTGAACCTAAGTTGTTATCCTTGTAGCCTAAAATATAGTTGTTTCTTTCTTTCTGTCTTAACCAGCCACCAGTAGTTAATTCGTTACAGTAGAAGATCGTAGTTATTCCATCAAAAATGCTTAATTAAAGTGCATGAAACTCCATTAATTACTGAATATAATTAAAACAGTAACTCTTCAATGATCACTAGTTTCAAACAAAGAGATCGTAAACAGGTTTTCTGAATTTTTTTTTTATGTAGATCGGAAACACTGAAATCATAATATTATGCCATTAGTGACGTCATAAAACCGGTAGTTTTAGTGGAATTGCAGGAACCACAAACGACTGATTGAAAATTGGAATGGTGTAAATTAATGCTATCAGTGTCCCTGATACACATAATTTTTTTTAGAAAATCTCTTGACAATCTCTTTAAAGCTGTAAGAATCGAGTTGTCAACGATATAATTATCAAGGTTGAACATGCATTATACATTACAAAATATATCTAAAAGTTGTGTTTAAAGATGTGTTCCCTTATTTTCATTTATGTAAATGTAAATGCTAATATTTATATGAATAGAAAGTAGAGGTGTTCTAATAACTTGGAAAAATACCAGTTTGTCTCACATGTCCATAATTAATTCATAATTAGCTAAACTAGAAGATAATTACCAACAGAATTCCAATGAGTGACCGATCAAAAAAGGTCAATAAATCTTTTTTTTTCTGTTTATCCAGACTGTACATACATGGACATTTTATTGGTTAAAACTCTTAATTATATGCAATAAGAACATAATGATATGATTAAGAATACATGATAATTCATTAGAAACACTAATTTTTCAAATAGTGCTCTTAATTTTACACTAAAATATAAGGAAACCCTGTATTTTAAACGACTGTAGGCTACACTCAAATGTTGGATTTTCAGTTAAAATACAAGACTATGGTGGGTGTGAGGTGGAAATGGTTGTAAAAACATTATCTTGATGTTTTATTTAGTTAAAGTTAATTTAAAACATAGATTAGCATTCTGATTATTATGAAATAAACAAGTTATGTATTTACAAAAGAGTTATATTTGATAGTTGTACATCATTTGTACTATGGGGGATATAAGTTTCAGTACATGGCTACGGTTGATTGGTTTTGTTGTAAGTTTTGTATTCAGTGAAAGTTGGTTTTAAAAGTAGCTTGGTATTCGGATTATTTTGATTATTAAGGGAATATATAACTTGTGTTTATAGTACACCTGATAGTACTGAGCACCCGAGTCCACAACTATACTACTTTTACTCTTGATTTTGCCATTTTTGGACGAGATTTTTTTAAAGGAATTGTCTCGCTTGAACAGATTTTTATTTTAACAGTTGTACTATCAACTCTTGAGGATGCTATAATGACAGTACATGTACTAGACTATGGTTGATAAATTAAAAAAAGTACTCAGTATCGGTTATAATACTGAAATAACCTAGAAAAAACAGTAGTAAAATAACAAGAAATGGAGAGGTTATCTGTTCAATTCATTTATTCTACAGTTGTGTATCAAACTATTTAGTATTTCAGTATAACAGTACACGACTGATTGATGTAAGTACCGAGTAAGTGTTGTAATCAATGAAAAGGTCAAAGTGCAGTACAGTACATTATAGTTGAGAACAGAAAGAGCTATGGTCTGACTCAAGAGGCCAGCCAGGGGGAATTGGCTTAAAATAGATGAGAAAAAAGCACATACGGGTCTGATTCAATAGACCAGTCGGTGGGATTTATTAAAAACCCATTACGAATCAGTAGAAATATCAAATTTAAGTGAAATGAAATGTGAAGTGTTTTTTCTGTATTTATATTGAAGTGGTTATTTGTTCAGCAGCTTTTGGAATAATTATTGAAATATTCAATTAGAAAGTTTAATTAAAGAAAAATTCGTGTCTCTAGAAAGGTTGAATTAAAGTGTTGATTTAAATATTGTTAAATTACTGTAGAACTTGTATAACGAGTTGCTTTCTTTTTGATTTTCTTTGTAATATAGAAACATATTATTGGATAATTTTTATTGCAATATTTCATGAGAAAGTTTTTTTCAATCAGGTACGAAGTCGTGTTATTGGAAATGTTAAATCAAGTGTTGTTTTAAAAATCGGTGAATTACTGTATAACTGAGCTTTTTTGTTTTTTTATTATTGGATAATTTTTTGCAATATTTAATCAGGTTCTTATATTAAACTTAAAGAGTCGTGTTGTTGGAAATGTTAAATTAAGTACTAGTTGAAATATTGTGTAAAACCTGTGTTTTTTTGTGTATGACACACCAGCCTTCAGTATAGTAATTGATGCAATATTTATTTATATACTTTCCTATATTTAAGATAGAGTCAGGTCATTGAAAAGGTTGAATTTAAGTGCCAGTTGAAATATTGGTGAATCGAAGTAAACCCTGTGTTTTGTTGTTTTCGTTTTTTTGTAATATAAAACATATTAGTGGATAATTTTGGCAATATTTGGTTAAAAAGATGGAGTCGTGTGGTTACAACATTGGTGAATTGAAGTATATCCTATGATTTTTCGTGTTTTTTTAAATAGATTATTGGATAATTTTTGCAAAATAATATGGTTAGGTAGGTTTTGATGTTTAGGACGGGGTCACTAAGTCACGTGGTTGGAAAGGTTAAAATTAAATGCTACATTCAATGAATTATTATTGAATAATATTTGGAGTATTTAGTTAGATTATGGCTGGATGGATTGTTTTAGAATATTTATTTTCTTTCTTTTGAATTAATAAAAATTCTAGACGTATCAACCCATAATAATTGTCATATTTATTTATAACTTGTGTTTCTAATATGTTATTGAAGGATGTAGTTAGAGAGTTTCTGAAAGTAAGGATGGGGTCGTGATGTTTCAATTTCTAGTTTAATATAAGTGAGTATAATTAGACAATCTTTTGTAATATGTAGTTAAATAATTCCACTAAGTCGTGTTATTGAAAAGGTCGAATGTAAGTGTCGGTTGAGATGTTGGGTAAAAACTGATATTTGATGTATATTATATAATAAGTGGGTAAAAACTGATATTTGATGTATTTTATATAATAAGTGGGTAAAAACTGATATTTGATGTATATTATATAATGAGTGGGTGAAATGAAATCCTGATTTATGATGCGTATAATTAGTTGTTATTAACAAAATCTCTTCAGCTTTATCATTGTCTGTTTACTCTGATGTTTTATATAGTTTATTTCGTGATTCTAGTTATTTTCATATAAATTATGAAATTTGCCGAAGAATTGATTTTATGGAAATTAGCAGAAAGAGAAGTTCAAATATCTTCAACGAACATTGATTCAGCTTTCATAGTCTGTGTTGAACGAAAAAGTGGGATGGATTCTCATGCCATATAGTATTATATATTCTATTAAAACTTGTATGAATTGTGAACCACCCCCAGAATTTAATCTGGATTATGTTTGGGGTTTCTAGAAGGTGATAATAGTACAACAGTGAACCGCACTCTGAAATATAATTCAGAGACACAAGTACAACAGTGAATCACTCTCTAGAATGTAACACAAGGTGATGTCTGGTGTTTCTATAAACAGACAATAGTACAACAGTGGACCACCCTCTAAAATATAACCCAGAGTTAGGTGATGTTTGGTGTTTCTATAAACAGACAATAGTACAACAGTGAACCACTCTGTAGAATATAACCTAGAGTTAGGTGATGTTACGTGCCTTCTATTACGCGATGATACTAAATTAACAGTATCTTGTTTGTGGACTCTCTGGATGGATACCAAGTCGATAATCCCATGTACATGAAACAATAAACATCATTGACTATATGGACTCACTGAGATAGATTAATATATATATATTTGACTCGAGATCTTAAATTACAGTCAAACACGCTCTAATTCTAAATGAAAGGGAACTCTAGGGTTAATTATAAACTTCAATGAAATAGTAATTTTGTGCAAAACCAAAACACAATAGAAGAATTAATGAGTTATGATTAAACCTAATTAATAAAGCACATTATAACATAATCTCTTCGACAAGGGACGGAGAAAGTGTTGCAATGATTTCATGGGTAATTTCACTGATCTATATTATGCGCCCGTCCACGTAATCTGTCCACTTCTAGACCAATGGAGAGGATCTAGGGTTATTTAATATCTAAGCACTAAAACTAATACAAGACAATTCTATTGTACTGTAACTGTACAAGTTACTGGTCAATATTAGTACCTGACTGTCATGGGATAGACT